GAGGATTTAAGCCTTTCACTTCACATTCACACATCCCTAATACTAAAAATAACCTTGCATTAAATATAACTCAATAATTTACGCTACAATGCAAAGATAACAATTAATACCACTAGGTGGCATAGGTTCATGGATACTTTAGCAGATAAGGTCTATGTCCCCCTGACCTCTGTTTGACCTGGCTCGTTTAGCTATTTCTGACTAATATATATATATATATATCTATATATATAATATATAATATATATAGGGTAAAGGTTAGGGTTAGTCAGAAATAGCTAAACGAGCCAGGTCAAACAGAGGTCAGGGAGACATAGACCCTACGAGCGATACTTCACTACAAACTATAGTGCCATTGCATTTTATAAACCTAATTTCTACTCCCGAGAGATGCCCTTCCTTCCGACAACAAACCTGTCTTGTAGCTAAAGAACTGGTTCAGATCTTCAAACACTGTTTTCAACTCCCTCTGAATCACCATGCTGAAGACAGCAATCCAGTGTCTGCAACAGAAAACAAAGCTATGCATATGCTAGTGTTGTCAATCGGTGTAAATTCGTAATCGACCATCGGTTGGACCAAATTGTTACCGATGATCGGTTACAATCGGTTACTCGGGGTGTTGAATGCCTGCGTGTGCGTAACGTCGTGTGCATGTACGTGTGTGCATGTAGTGGCTTGTTTAGCCCCGTTTACTGTTTGTTTTGCACTGTTTACTACTGTGTGTAGAATACATGTATGTTAATAAAGGATAACTTGTATAGTAGTGTTCTGGTGTTGTTCGTTGCAATATGTGTCAAACAATTTACTCTCAGACATTTCTTGTTCCAGTTTGACATTTATTTCGATGAAATCGATTATGGATTTTGATAACCAAGCGCTTGGTTCGAGCCACTGTTCAACCGATGATCGAGTATAATCGATGATCGTGATATCACTAGCATATGCTACATGCAAAAACAAGATTACGCGTCAAATCCCCACCAACTCATCAAGTGCAAGCCACTTACTTTGCTGACAAATCTTGACGTGCAATCTGCACTTCTATTATAATTATAATTATAAGTATATATTTAATTAATAATTAACTTTTATTAAATATTTATTATTTATATATTAAACTTTGACGTGCAGTCTATCTTTAAGATGCTCTATTTAGGCACGAAGGGTCGTTGTCGTATAATAGCAGTGAGTGGGGTGCAAAGATAGATGGTGATGTAGATTGGAGAGTTCGATTATGTACGTGTGTGTTGATTTTTGAATGCAATCATTAATGTGTGAATTCAGGTTATTATAGTGTCTCATACATCTGCGTGCGTGTACATGTGTGTATTGTGAAACTATGTGAAGACTGTTTTTTGTTGTTTTTGCTCCATCTTTGTACGCCTTGATTGCTAACGACTTTGTAAGAATGCTATCACTGTTGTTTTGCTGAAGGGACAGACAGACAGACAGAAGAGCTTGCTGGAATACCTGACAACTATGAGACAGTGGTTCTGAAGGCATTTCAGACGATCTGGGAAGCAATTAACAATTTCTGGTAAGTAATCCATCCGTTTGTCTCCCGCATTGCTACCGTATATACTCGCGTAATAACCGCAAATTTGGCCTCAGATTTCAACTCTGTATTTGCTCTGCGGTTTATAAGTGCGCCATACCGTGAGGGGAAATATACTAGGCGCAATACTTGGTTACCCGATTCAAATTGAGGTGTGGCTTATAGAGGCGCCCACGGTTATTACGCGATCATATACGGTAGTTGTAATATATACTGGATAACCTAATATGCATTGAATAGCCAGAGTTCATTTTCCATCTGACGTGCGGTCCATTTATACTAGCTAGGTAGACTACTAATTCTGTCGGCCGCACGGTATATTACACGATCTGAATACTCGGCTTAATTAATCGACAATGGAACATCGCGTGTTTCGTTAGTAACGTTTACGTCTGCGCACGCATGGTTCAGCCGTGTACCGTTAGTATCGTTTCCATCTACGCACGCACGATCGTACCGCGCGGTTTCGCGTCTCGTGGCTTACCGTCTGACGCGCATTTGTTTCTACGCAGCGGTCTCCTGTTTGACAGCCTCGGTGTCAGCCACGCGTTGGTCTACGAGCGATCGGGAGCCGCGCTGCCCGGCCAAGCCGAGGCTGAAGCCTTCCTCGTCCGGCTGCTGCCGACGCTGCAGCAGCTTAGAGCGGGTCTGCATGGGTACGTCACGCTGCCGGGGGGCGCGTTGTCGGATACAAAATTAGGCGTGACGTTAGTTTTAACATAAATGTTTTCTCATAAACGATTGTCGGAAACAAAATTAGTCTTAATGTTAGCCTTAACACTGACGTTTGCTCATAGACTGTTGACAGAAACAAAATTAGTCTTAATGTTAGCCTTAACACTGACGTTTGCTCATAGACTGTTGACAGAAACAAAATTAGTCTTAA